GTCCCCCCTTTCCCCCCCGTCTGACGACGTCGAGGTCACTATCCATGAGCTTAATGTTATCTGCTACTTGCTCTGTGTCCCAACCTCTCACACCAGACTTCAATCCTTACGCATCGTTTATGACTCAATGGACACAAATCATGTACCTGATCTATTCAATGCTCTACCACTCCCCGAACTACGCTTGCTTGAAATTCGCTATGATGTAACACTCCCCGATTTACGCTTGCTTGAAGTTCGCCGTGCAGTGACATGGCCTCATAAGGCATTCTTGCCACGGTCAAACTGTCCCCTGGAGAGCCTTACTTTCGGTGCCTCGGAGATGACGACAGATGAACAGCGAGCGGAATACGTTGCCCTTATTCCTTCCCTCGAAATAGTAGTAGATCCCACAAAGATCCCATGGTTCATGATTGCTTTGCTTTAACAGACTTGGTCGTTACACGTTCGCAAAATGATTAATGATGAATTGCCAAGGGCTATACTCTGTATTTATGCTACTAGTGCCGCGTGCGCCAGTCATGGTATGTCTTTCTTCATGGCTCTAATTAAGTACTTTATTCTTCGTCTTATGACAGGACCAGCCTTATATCCGAGTATCCAATTGAACAAGCTATCTAGAATCAATCGAAGCCCCTATCGACACCCAACATGAAGGCGCGGCCACCTTATCTCCTGCGATCATTCTGTCTGACATACAGGTAACGTAACCCAGGTCCCATGGCTGGGGGAAACAAATGATATTACATGATGAATCCCGACGGGAGAAAGTGGCAGTGTCTAGAGACGGAACGGGTACCTGGGCAACAGCCCGCAGGGCTTTTCGGCCTGGTGCATGAGCCTGAACCTGAGAGATGATCAGGCTCCCCGTGAAACTTGAAAACAAAGAAGCGAATGCAGTGCGTCGGAAAAACAAATTGACATAATTGAGGGTCAGGAATGTAATAAATGCGGATTTATGATGGTGAAGTGAAATAGAATTACGGGGCACGGAACAGCTGGTCTTGAAACTCAAACCTGTTCCAAGTTCCTCCAGGACCACGTCACGGTTGCAATCATCGATGTGGGTGATGATACGGGCGGCGGGCAGGTCTGACAGGACTAACTCAGACATGGTTGCTACAACGAATACAATCAATCATGGATGTACTGCCAACTGAGACTCACTTTGGTAGAAGGTCGTTGACGCGATGGCTGTTAAGCAGGCAACTAGTCCTGTCAGGTAACCGATGGCTGTTACTTTGAGCGCCGGCAATGAGTCGTCAGGCACAGTCTAGTGATCATGATACAGAGATGCGGGGCCCCAGATGTGGCCACCATGCGCCCTCGGAAAACAAATATCACTTAATGCGCACCCATGCCTGCGTCGTGAATCGTGATACAGGAGCCACGACTACAAGGTCAGATGATGGTCAGCCGATTCGCTCACAAGGCAGTGTGTGACACCTTTGGGCCAGAAGTGCGGAACGAACCGAAATTAACAAACTGAGGTCGGGAGTCAACTGTCGAGAATCATTAGATAGGGATGACAGTTACGTAGTTGATAGCCGACCCATGTTACTTACGAACAAATTGTCTGAGCATATACTTCCGCTGTAGGTGTCGGTAGCCAAGTAAGGAGCCACAGGGCAAGGGCGACCGCGCCTAGCACAGCATTATTCTCAACAGCGCTCCCATCGCTCTCGGTCATCTTCTATATGCTCGAAAATTTCGCTGGAGAGAAGCAAGGTTCATTGCCGGAGAGGCACATGTCGAGGCCGTGTCTTAAGTGCCTAGAAGAGAGCAGTAAGCGGACTTCTGTCCCAGCGAAAACAGTGTTATCGACATTGTTGCAAATCGGTAAGGGGGTTAGACATCTGGGGGTCGGGCGAGAATTCAATCGCGTATTAGATTGGTCGATTGGAGATCTCCCACCGAATAAGACTCAAGAAGGGCTATCGGGGAGGCGCCGTAACGCATTAATGTCTTGTGGTAAAATGCTGAAGTGTAGGCTGATGCCAACTTGTAGTATTGTTGGGACTTCTGTAGTTCATGACACATTCTATTGATGTATTTTATATCCACGAACTCAGCTTTCCGCAGCTGGTAAGGTTTTCAATCACATGTGAACTAAAAGAGGGACTAGAATAAACATGTCGAACACTACGATGATCGCGAGACAGAAACCGCTCACACGTAACCAGCATATCAGGCCGGGATGCAGCAGAGGTGGAGGTCAATGACCGAGCTTAATACTCACGTGACACGCGTAGCTAGCCGACACTAGGGCAGAAACCCAAACACGTCTACTTGGAAGTTTGCACTACATAGTACATAGCGATATTTACTTAAGTGGTAATCACTCACGATTCCTTCGTTTAGCCTCGTTGATTCGAGCTTTCAGAGGCTGACACTTTCTGGTACCGGAAGTCAACTACCAGACAGAACCATACGCGTATTCGGTTATCCGTGTGTAGTTAAATCTGTATGACCATCACCCAACCCTTTCAAGCACTTATCTGACCTTCAGCCCTGCATTATCAGCGCGTTTTTGGCTACCTTGCCTTATTTTTTAATATTAGTCGCGGAAACCCTTTTTTCGCCTATCCGCCCTATCTCATGTGAAGCATGGTTTTAGGTCTGAGTACCGTAGTTGTTCCCTCGTCCAATTCTACCAACATGCTGCATTGGACTGCTCTAGTCGCAGAAATGAGGCAGAGGTAGCTAAAGTCCATTCCTCAGGATTGGCTTGTGACCCCGCCTCCGGATTCTACTCCGGATGTGACCAGTTTTCTAGAGACGGGTGGACTTTTGAATGTGAGAGAAATTGAGATCACCAATACGTCTGTGGATGTTTTGTTGGAGAGACTTGCAAGTGCGGAGTGGACAACTGTAGAGGTGACAACTGCGTTCTCCAGGAGGGCTATTGTTGGCCATCAGCTTGTGGGTTGAATTGCGATGCATTTTCTTGACGAGATTGTATTGACCGGCCGACGAGGTCAATTGCTTGACGGAAAAATTTGTTGATCGTGCATTGGCCCGAGCGGCTGAGCTCGATGGTCACTTAAAGACAGGGAAGGTCGTCGGTCCACTTCACGGGCTGCCAATCTCTCTAAAGGACCAACTATGCATCGAGGGAGTAGAAATCATTATGGGCAAGCAATAATCCAGGAGTAGGCCCAATGTATGGTAATTAGAATTTAATCTCGCGGACCATGGATATGGCAAAGATTTGTGCGTGCGATCATGTAGGACTATGGTGTCGTTGTCCCCTACCCATCTATCAGAAGATCTCTGAAAATGACGCAAGTGGCACTCCAGAAGATGGGCCACAGAGGTTCTCTCTCGTCTAACTGCTCTGCTGAAAGATGCTGAATCAGTGGTAGTTGTTGACTGGAAACCCATCCAGCGCAGATTGCTCAAAGAAGTGACGGTAAGCTGTCGAGTCATTTACTATGCCTGCCTATTCACCGTACAGATGGACATCTTGAGCGCTACTTCTGCCGAAGACATCATGGTCACGACTTCTGTCACAGAGGAGCTAATAATTGCAACAACGGAGCTAAACCTGTAGTCCGCCCGCAGAACTATGGTATCGCCGCATACCAGCTGTGGCAAGTGCAGAAGCTACGTCAACATATCCGAGAAGAATATCTAGATTACTGGGAAGCAACTGCATCAGATGGTGGGATAGGACGGCCTGTCGATGCTATCATCTGTCCGGTCGCACCATATGCGGCACCTCCCCACGGGAAGAACAGGTCAGCCTGAGTGTCTTTGTAATTGCGGAATGTTTGAACTGTCAACGAGAAACGACACGCAGCTACACCAACTACAGCACCGTTTGGAATGCACTCGACTATCCCGCTGCGACTTTCCGTATGACCACTGTGAACTCCACTCTTGATGGGAAGGAGCTTCCTGATGGTTTCTATGATGATTTTGAGAAGACATTTATGAAATGTGTGAGTAGCGCCAGCACTGAACGACCTCTCAGTGATCTTCTGATGCCCAATAATTGATCTAGACGGCCCCGGAAATTTTCAAGGACGCTCCTGTCTCTTTGCAACTTGCCGGTCGGACTCAGAAGAAAGAGGCAGTGATAAAAATGACAGAAATTGTCGATGTGGCGCTGGCAGCGGCTAAATAAGTCCAAGGTATACCTTGACAGTCGACCGGACTATCAGTTGAACACTTTTCCATTGGGACGGCAGTGCGTTATTCAGACTTCCTGATCTGGTTAACACGGTGTGGACAACATGCAGGTACCACATCTAAAAAAGTATTGGTTTATACGTACAGGTCGCCGATCTGTTCATAGAAAACATGCAGACGTACCTCGAATGATACCATTCACAAATAGCTTTCATGCCAGGGAATGGAATGCGTTTGATAACAATAGTAGATGCGGATGCAGGGGGCCGAAACGTTTTCAACAGAGATATTTCGATCGGGCGCTTCAAATTCAGCCTAAACTTCTTGAGGTTGATCGGAGTAGTCCAGATGAAACTTGAAGCAGTAACAACCAACGCCGCTGTGACCAAGCTTGGCATAGCAATAGTGCCAGCCCACTGAGAACTACAGTACTGACCGTGACGGTGCGATGATACAAAAAAAGGTCGGGATCGAACACATCATACCATTCCGACTCGGCTATCGGCCATGACGGGATGCTGTGCGATATGCATCACGCCGGCGGCCAAAGGCTAGAAGATGATGCAATATTGAGATGTTTCAAATGCATGCTATGCCGCAGACGAAATACACGTGCTGATTCAGCGGCCGAGAGAAGATAAAATGTGATGGCGAGAGGCCCAGAGTGCGTGGACCCTGACTTAAACAGACATAACTTAAAGTCAGCGTCTTTATATTTAAAGCCCCGATCCAAATTGAGGGGGGTATCTCAGAATGAAATTGTGTTCATTGAATGGTTTAGACGTTCTGGGACTAGACTACCTCGACAGAAAATAACATTGTAGGTACCTATCCGTCCTGAGCGCCAGAATACCCGCTGACATAATCTGACTTCTATACTCGTTCACACAACTAGAACAACATACTAGATCCTTGCCTGACGGCCTTTCCGCGTGGCGACAGTCGCTGTGGTGGCCCCAAGCTCTCCCTATACATACGAGCAATGACCGCCATACAAATTGCTGAGACTGTAATGTCCTCCAAATGTCGAACCAAAATTATAATACTGAATGTACGGTTTGCAATCGAGCCATTAACTTATCAAGTGACCATCATTCTTCGTACCAGATTATGGCCCGCTCTTTTCCAATTCGCTTTCATGAGACCTGATTAGGCCCTATCGTCCCATGAGGACCTATAAGTAACTTTGCTTGCAGAAAGACGGGGAACATCGAGTTTGAGCCCGGGCGGTGTTTCTTACTTGCTTGAGTTAGTTAGCAATTTACTCAAACTTAGTGCAAGATGTTAACATCAATTTCTCACAGCGAGGTGTCTGCAAGTGCTCGTGTCACCAGTCCCCAACTCTATCTCATATACCCGTTCAGTAGCGACATGAGTTGATGTCGGTACGTTCCCTGCTTCCGTGCCCGCTGATTAGCTCCGATCCTACCCTCTTCGCATTCGCACGAGATCTGATTCGGTTTGAGTTAGCCCACCGGGCCCTGTAAGCAGTGTTGAAATCATTAACGGCAGGTTTACCACGGGTCTACGGACAGCAGTGTAAGCCACTTGAGACTGTGCCTAATATTGTCCCTGGTAATGTCGTTACATAGATTGAGGTACTAAGTTTGGGACTTGACGGTACGTATTAAGGCTGGTACAGAATGACACATGTTATTGATGTGTTAGATGTATAGCGTAATTCAGAGCAGGGCTCCAGACAACCGAGCGACATAAAATGCCGAGCAGGATTCAGGTAAACTTGTGTGCCCATTCTGCCCGCTAAGATGTCACTCTCTGCTAGGATATCCATCATGCTTCTTGCAGGCATTGGGGGGCTTGCAGCTTCTTCAGATTTGCTCGGTACCGGGAACGTACTTCGTGACACTCCTGCTTGTGCGCAGATCGCCGCTTCCATCTCTTCGGAATCAGCAGTTTATTACAATGGTATGTGCTAGTACTAGGGCTAAGTGTGAACGAGGCTAACACACCAACAGGATCGACGCTCTATACAAAGGATAATTATCATTGGGCATCTTCGAGTAGTCAAGTCTCCGCTTGCATCCTTCGAACCTGGCACCACCGAGGACCTCTCTAAAGCGGTTCGTGTTGCTGAAAGTAAAGACCTCATGCCATATTAATCTCAATACATAGCTTCAAATATTGGGAGCCACCAGGACAGCCGTTTGCAGTGAGCAATGACTTCTTCAGCTTGTGCTTTTCATCTTACACAGGTACCAATTAGGTCAAAAGCGGTGGTCACGCGACCAACCCAGGCTTTTCGTCGACCACAGGCGTTCAGATCGCGATGTATCTATTCTCAGACATCACGTATGACTCGGATTCCCAGACAGCAAAAGTTGGCACTGGTGCGATATGGGATGAACGTCTATTTAACACTGGAAGCATTGGGCGTGATGGTTCTAGGGGGGAAAGTCACTGGCGTCGGAGTTGGCGGCGTCGTACTTGGTGGAGGTATGAACGTCTCCAGATGATTCAAACGTGATTTAACATTCGTCCCTTGATCAGGATTTTCGTATCTGACAAACCAGCATGGGCTTGCAATCGACAACGTGGTATCATACGAGCTTATTTTGCCTAATGGCACGGTGACTACAGTCACCAGCTCCAGCAACCCAGATTTGTACTTCGGCTTGCGGGTACGTTTTTCGTCATCTAGATCGTCAATATTTCAAATTCTCATGCCACTGTGAAGGGAGGTTTTAATAACTTTGTGCGTGCTCCTCTAAAGAAGCACCGTATGAAACCACGGGCTAACTCCCTTATAGGGAATTGTTACCTATTTCACTCTCAAGACATATCCACAATCACAAATTTGGGTGAGACATCATATCACAGCTTATCGTACGGCACTGACGGCTATAAATAGGGTGGAAGTCTCGTATACACTGAAGATCAAGTTGGAGCAATAAACGCAGCCGTCGCCAACTTCACTGTGAACGTTTTAGACCCCAAGGCATCAATATATTCCACATATAACTATGTCAATGGATCGGTAAGCATATTCCAAAGGCAATCTACGTAAGGTCGTGGGCTAACACCCTGTTGCGTAGTCAATCCTGTCGAGCGCGTTGTTCTATGATGCACCCACTCCCCCAGATGGTATGTTCGATGACTTCTCGGCGATTCCAAACATCGAGGAAACCCTTTCTACCCGGACCTTTGCATCCATGGTCGATGTTGAGCCGGTGAATGACACAATTGGCCTTAGGTAAAAAAAAATTGGTTTTATGTCTGGCGTATACTCACTGCGAAACAGAGCGGTGTTCAATTCCATAGCCGTCGAGGAGTGGACAGTACCCTTGTTGGACGCCGTTGCTAATGAGACCCTCGTGAGCATCGCCTGTTTGATTTACGCCGTCTACTGACATGAGCGACTAGTTCTACGGCAGCAAGCTGACAAATACCAGTAGTTTGGCTCAGGTCACTTACAACGTGAGGCCCTACCTTGAATCGATCTTCAGCCACTCCGATATACCATCTGCGTATCCGGTTTCACGTAAACGAGGCTACTCATACTTGGAGTTCTTCTATGCATGGGTAGATCCAAACGACGACGACCTCTTCTATGGCATCGTCACTACCAGTTCCAACTATATGACGTCACTAGCGGTCGCTGCAGGGCAGAACATTGAAAATGTGGTTTCGTATCCCAATAATGCAGATCCTTCCACAAGCTTGGAGAAAATGTACGGGTCGAATCTCCCGCGTTTACGGCGCATCAAGAAGGCTGTTGATCCAGAAAATGTGATGGGACTCTGTGGAGGGTGGAAGTTCTAGGTGGGACATGAAATCCATGGTACCTACTATGGGACATACATATCAACTATTTATCGTCGCGATGCATGTCGATATTTAATTTAAACGGATACTTATACGGACAGAGAGTATATACTACTATTCAGAGGTGTCCTCCAAATGGGTAGCATGTAGCAAGCACAAGGCAATGTTGACAAGCAATGCGACCACCTGATTATGTTGAGTTAAGTGTTAGATATGAGATCTGAACTTCTGAATAAATGTTTTTGAAAGGTCCTGATCTGTACGTCGATCTTCGTGCGCCGTTCATCGGTAACGCGTGCGTACCTACCACTCGCTGTGTGCGACAGCACTTGAGCAGTCGTTCGTGCTCTGTGATATCTTCGGAATTTTGTGGTGCACTTTTGTAATGAAGAACGCAGCTGATAGGGTCATGAAATGTGAACTGGGCTCTGCGCGAGAGTAGTAAGGAAATGCGGTTCCATGCTGAGTGATTATTATTAGCCATACTGCAAAGTCATGTGTAATAAATATAGTAAGAAAAATACAGTGCGGGCGGTAGACACGGCTCGATAATTACTCACTGGCAAAAAAAGCAGAGGCAGGAGGAGTAAGTGAGGCGAAAGCTATTTTGCAATCACGTAAAGGTCCTGGAGGCCGTCTGCAGATATTTTGAGGTGGCGCTAGGTGTGAGACGACGCATAGGAAGTTATGGAGCTGGCGATAAATCGGGAGCGCGGAGGAAGCAACAGGGTGGAGCTGGAAGCCGTTGATATTACGGCTCCGCACGGACGGGCGCCGCGAGTGCGCACCGAGTGTATCAGAGTCCGCATTTGCAACTACGGAAGGATTGCGGGGCGGTGTGCCGGGGCTTAAAGGTGCGCCCATCCAACGCTTTCAGATTACTATCATTCCTGGAATCTGCAACTGGCATGTAATATGCAAAATGTTCAAAACACCTCAATGCGCTGCTTGGATCACCTCAAAAAAATTCAGATGCATGTAGGCTACTTAGAGATGATGTACTGTCCAAGTAGAATAAAAATTTCTTGAGTGTTGCAGCTGCGAGAGACGGAATAGTGGTGATTTGCAACCTTGTATAATTATAAATGATCCAGATCCCATAGATCCTTGAGAGATATTCAAAAAGTTACACCAGAGCATATCAAACACCTTGTCAGGGTGTCAGAACACAATTTCGATAGAGGTCATTCTCTTGTTTTAAGATGCTATAGAAAGAGGATTGACGACATGTATGAAAGTGTGACAGCAGATAGGAGAGTGTGTAAGAAATTCAATCTCCTCTACGGCACACTCGGCTTGACACACGGCATCCAGTCGCATCACGTCGCATCTCATTCTCGCATCCTTACAGCGAATTTTACAGCACTTCAACGACCACCCGGAACTCAAGAAAAATCAACGCTATGAGGGTTTATTTAATCCCCCCGTTCTCGCAGGCACCGTCTCGAAAATGACAATAATGTTGCTCCTGAATTCCCGCAAGATATAATTCCCCCAAATTCAATTCACCAACCATCCAGGTATCCACCACAGCCGCCTGTCACTCACTCCTCAATGTCAGGCATGGATCTGCCCCCACCTGGCTATGCACCTCCATATTATCCAATGCACCATTCTGTACCTCGGTCTCCACCTGTTCTTCACCCTCCCTTTACACCGGTTGGTAGACCTCTCGCTAGTATGTCTCAGGATTTTCGAGTTGGTGGTGGAGTGCAGATGTATGACATCGGGGGCTCTGGTGATGCAGGCCGTCAGCTGTACGAGTCCGGACTCCATCAGTACCATTATAATCACGATAATTAGTATATGAACCATGATCCCCAATAGTATTCATTTTCAAAGTTTCGAGATTCGACGCGCGACATCGAGATTCGACAGAGCTCAGAGTCTTCGGAGAGTGAAGTTTGACGTTGCCGCTACTGTGCCGATGTGTGACACGACGTGACCATGTTTTGCAGAATACCAGTCAGACCCTGAATTTTCTCGGCCTTCATCCGACACTCCACCACAAAATCCTTAAAATCAGCAAAAATCAGTTTCATATAGAGCAGCTACGAATCTACATCTGTGCAAATCCGTAGAAGAAAATATGATGTGGTTGAGGAATTACAAAAGATTTATTGAAAATATTGCAGAACCCCAGGAGTGATAGTAGTGTACCGTAGATAAACTTCTGGGGGGTTATCCACTGTAGATATCTACCCTGGAGAAATTGGGGGTCAATTATCCACCAGTGAGTAGGGTGGATATCCACTGGCGGCAAAACCGGCCCAGCAGATCCAGGCGCTGCAAAAAAATTCAATCCATAGCACGTTTTACAAAATTTGCATTCAGTCACCAATACTAAGTAAAGATATATTATATAGCATCTTGCTGGTGGAAGCATGACAGTGTTTCTTGGTGTTGCGGATACCAAATCCTTATCAGCAAGCACATCGGTTCGTTTCCCGGAGTCGAGATTGATGATACTGGCAGCATCGAAACCTTTGCCGTTAAAAGAATCCACTTTACTTGAACCATCTTTGGCTGTATCCTCAAGGTCAGCGACATCCGAGTCTGAGTCATTATCCTCATCAGGTGCTTCAAGCTCATCTACGAAATCATCGTCCACGTCAGAAGTTTCATTGTCATCATCACCTTCCTTCCCTCGCTTGCGCTTGCCACCAAAAATGGTTGATGACATATCTCGCCATTTGACAGTTGGTTTCTTTTTTGGAGGTAGTGCCTAGTATCGATGTCCATGAGTTGCAGATAGTAACATGGAATGTTGATTGTACACTCAATCGGGAATCATTGTTTGTACCAACTACGAATTTTGGACTGTCCTAACAAGTGTTTTTACCTGCTGCTAACTGCAAAGGGGCGAGTTGAGCCAAGTGAATGTCGAGCCAGTCCGCTCATCAGCCATTGAATTGAGTACAGCAGAAAATTCGAACAGTGAGCCTCTGGTTAGATTATGATCAGCTTCGGGACTGTTTCTAGACCTCGCTCTATGATTTTCAGGCCGTCAACCATGATTTCCAACCAACTTCTAACTCTTGGTTGACAGCACCAACCTCGCCAATCAGTCTGAAGTCCATTCAGCATCCGGCTGAAGTCGGAGAATTTGTACTTGGATTCTGTTGCTAGTGGAACAGGAATGTCTGACATAGTCACAGCTCGACTAG